GCGTCGCGCGACACAACGAATCGATTATGAAATTCGTTGCCAACTCTTTTAGTAATCGATTTTTATCGATTTAATCGATTCGTTGTTGCAGCCCTATTATCAACAGTAACCAATAGGTCTAAGAGGAAATCTGCATACGGCCCTGGTGGTCTATGCACAGTAGCCAGAGCAAGAGATACGATACATTTCTTTTGCATATCTGACAGTGTAACATTAAGCATAAGTATTTCGAATGAGTTAAACCTGTATCCTGTCTTCTGAGTAAAATTGAGAATATCACTATATATTGTTGTAACACCGCCGCCACGACCAGTCTGACGGGGCTCATGCTTATAACAGTAGCTTGGTGGAGAAGACTCATTTAGACCAATATAATAATTTGGTTTTAGCCAGGTTTCAGTCAAGCAGAGTACATCAAAACTATTATCTGTGATCATTTAATTTACAATAACTCCACACTTTGGGTGAGAGTGATCTAATGTTTAGGAGCCCAAACTTTAAAAATAGTTTTTGTTCATTTATTTGACATTTTTCTGGTTTAATCACGATCAGATTTTTTCTAAATCCTGCATTAAATGTATATTTTGACCTCACTATTCGGGGAACAGACACAGTCCTTATAGATTGCACAGCGCAAGTACTTCTATCATTTAAGCGGGTAGAACAAAAGTCATCAGGGCAGTTAATTTGAGATTTGACTTACTAGTCATATGGTGTGCAGCTTGGTGTCATTAACCCCCGCGTGAAGCACGACCGCTCCGGTGCTCTCGTCGCCCTTCAGGATCACGGGTATCTGCGCAGAACCAAACTTTAAACCAGAAAAATGTCAAATAAATGAACAAAAACTATTTTTAATCACGATCAGATTTTTTCTAAATCCTGAGAGGTCGTCACCCGGGCCTGGCTTGCGTCTTTCGCTGCGGGTGCACCCAGGGTCTGTGGTGTCCCGGTGCCGGAGTGAAGGACATCTGGGAAGATCGCGTCCTGGGTGCACCGGGCCTGTGCAGAGAAACACATGGAGTAGAGGGGGTGGGAGAGTTAGCAGCACGCTGTATACTTACCCCGGACTTGTGAGCGTCAGCCCGGGATGTGACTTGTGTGCGTCAGCCCGGGATGTTTCCAGCGCGGCTTTCCGCTCTCTCAGCTGGGTCTGCCTCTCCACCAGGTCGCGGATCTGCTTCTCCACGGCCTCCAGCTCGAGCTGCATTCGGTGTCCTCACCTGCACTCAAAGGTAGACACACATCCACCATTAAAGCAAGTAACAGTGAGTAAAACAATGGTGATGTATGTGAATAGAGTATTAGCAATGAAAGCGAGATTAGCGGCAACCACGATGGCCATGCTAACGGGCTATATGCTAATAGCGGACTCTGGAAATCAAAATAGAACTAGTGATAAGGCGCTCTGATTGTTTTTGTTGTAGAATAAGATAGGGGATATATTCACACGTTATATAAACGAAAATGATGGTGTATAAAATTGTTTTTAAGATAAAAAAAAATTGAAGATAAAGAATTAGCTCAAACTTAAAACACACGGCAGCAACAAATGGGAAGTGACATATCAGTGTGGAAAGGACTGAAAGACATCACCAATTACAAGATACCATCCCCCAGCCTTGTGTTGAATCACAACTGGCCAACCATTTGAATGAGTTCTATTGCAGGTTTGAAATGGCTCATTTCAACTGCGTGGTACAACTTGGCTCGGCACGGCACAGTACGGCACGGCTCGGTTTGCGTTTCCACTGTAGTTTAGTACCGCTTTAGGGCGGGCAGGATTATTCACATGTCGTTATATTTGCGCCGCCTCTACTGCCGCGACTCCTGAAAACCTTTTTCATTCCGCGTAGCCCCATCAAGCTCTCGCTGGATCCGCTCCTCTGCTATCAACAAGTGGAAAGTCTGTACTTCCTCAACAGACAACTAAATTTTTTTGGTTTTTAAAAAAGGGTGCGCTCGTTCAAAACAGTTGCGTTCGATCGTTCGCTGGCTGTGCTGATTTAAATCTAGCGGGTCTGTTTTGTCTCTCTGTGTCGCAAGTTCAGTGATGCAGGTAGTGACGATTCTCTCCGGCCAATCAGTGATCAGCAGAGTATACATGTCACATTTTGGTAACGGTACGGTTCACTTGGAACCTCAATCGAGGTGGTACTGAAAAAAGTACCAGGTACCAGGTACTGTACCCAGTGGAAAACCTCCCAAAAGTGAACCGTACCAAACTAGTTGAGGCTGGGAAAATTCCCATCCAGCACCCGCACCATCAGCACTGGTGCCCCTCAAGGATGTGTGCTCTCCCCACTGCTCTTCTCCCTATACACCAACGACTGCACCTCTAAAGACCCCTCTGTCAAGCTCCTGAAGTTCGCAGATGACACCACACTTATCGGCCTCATCCAGGACGGTGATGATGAGTCTGCTTACAGATAGGAGGTTAAAGAGCTGGCTGTATGGTCCAGTTATAACAACCTGGAGCTGAACATGCTCAAAACAGTGAAGATGATAGCGGACTTCAGGAGGACCACCCCTGCACTCCCACCACTCACCATCATGAACAGCACTGTGGCAACTTTGGAGTCATTTAGGTTCCTGGGCATAACCATCTCTCAGGACCTGAAGTGGGAGTTCCACATTCCACATTTGACTCCATTGTCAGAAAGGCCCAGCAGAGGCTGTACTTCCTTCGCCAGCTGAGTAGTGTATCAGTTCTACTCTGTAGTGATTGAATCCGTTCTCTGCACTTCAATAACTGTCTGGTTCAGCTCAGCTATCAAATCAGACCTTAGAAGATTGCAGCAGATAGTCCAGACTGCTGAGCGAATCACTGGTACAACCCTCCCCACTCTCCGAGAACTGTTGGGTGTGAGTAAAAGAGCCGGCAAAATCATTCTGGACCCCTCACATCCAGGCCACTTCCTCTTTGAACTGTTGCTGTCTGGTCGGTGCTACAGAGCAATGAGCACCAAAACAGCCAGGCATAAGAACAGCTTCTTCCCTCAGGCAATCCATCTCATGAACAGTTAACTTGGCAATAAACATGTAATACTCAACACTATTTATACATTTATTTATTTTACACACCATACTTCTTATTCACATTTCCATGCATTTGTACACTGTTGTCTATTTTTATATATTGTGTATTTTTTAAATATTTGTTGTATATTATTATTTCCTATTTACTTATTTTTACTTATGCTCAAAAACAGTTTGAGAAAACAGTGTGAGATATTACACTTAAAAATAAAATAACTGTTTTCTATTTTAATATATTTTAAAATGTATTTTATTCCAGTGATCATAAAGCTGAATTTTCAGCAGAAATTACTCCAGTCTTCAGTGTCACATGATCCTTTAGAAATCCTAATTTGCTGGTTTCTGCTCAAGAAATAGTTATTATTATTATCAATGTTGAAAACATTTGTGCTGCTAAATATTTTTGTGGAAACTGACTAACATATAACCATAAGTCTTTCTAGAATACTTCTCCGGTTTCCATAATTAGGACAATTTAACAATTAAATAATGATATTTTTTTTACTGAATAAATAATATTATAGAATGAGAAAGCTACAATGCTAGCTGCATTGTGAAAATAGGTGTCACCAATATTTTCATCATTGAGTGAACTCTATAGTGTTTTTGTTAGTGTTAGTTAGTGTGAAAATATAATAAAACTTTCAAACTGTCTTACATTTTATGTGTGTGTTGCAGCTATCGCACTGTGGTCCGGCCATCCTATAAAGTCGTGTACCGCACCATCACCTCTCTGGAGTGGAAATGTTGTCCTGGATACAGCGGATCTCAGTGTGAGGAAGGTAGGACTGACTGGTGACATTAGTTGCATCCCAATAAAGAACTAAACATAGTTATGAAGAAGGAATATCTATACCGTGTCTCTTTGTCAGCGCTGGGAAATCTTTCTCTGGGAAATAACTTTGTGTAAATTAAAAAACTTATAAAGTTGTCAAACTACAGTCAAGCTACTGAAACTAGTTTTCAAAAGAGTAGATGATAAAACTATTTTTTTTTTCGATATGGATCTTAATTTGTGTGACAGCATGTATCTTATACTGAATAAAACACAAACATTTGTAATTAAAACCAAGCTAATGAAAACACACCAAGCAGCATTTGACTAAATCTGACAACATTTTTAATATCTATTATTTTTTAAACATGAAATATTGCATAAGGACTGTGTATTTTTTAATAGGTTTATTAAAATAAATGGTCTGACCGAACCATTTCGTTAAAAATAAATCTGACTTCCCAATGCTACTTGAGAGAGAATATAGAGAATATATTTCCTCTTTGACTTGGCTGTGTGCACAACACACTGTGACAAATGGCATCTATGTAGCATTTAATCATGCTGCTCATTGGAAAATGTTGCTGGAAAAAGCTACACTATTTTTGGAAACGACTAAACTGCTGTCGCATGCCTGAAGAAAAAAATTACTTAGTAGTGTCACTTCTCTTAGTAGATATTCCCCAACACTACTCATAGTGCAGAACTAGACATCACCTGGGAATGGGAAATGATCCACAAGTGTTTAGGGTCTGTGAGGCAGCCATATTTGTTATTTCATGTTTATACAGGCTCACACAAGGAGACCACCACACAACTAATGTCCTGCCCTGGCCACAGTTCACGTCTGACTTTGACTTCTCGTTCACTCCACTGTCACTGTTTGTAAATCGTGTCCCACTATCAGGAGAGCAAATAGTGGAGAAGACAAAAGAAGAGAAACAGGATGGATGGCTATTGTGAGATGGCGAAGGATTGCGTGTGTGTGAGTGAGTGTGTGATTAATGTGAGAGTGTGTCTCAGCTGTGTTTGCGTGCTGTTTCTGGCTGCTTTGCTCTGTGACTGTATGTGTGTGTGTGTGTTTGGCTGCGTTCTCTGAGTGTCAGCCAGTGCCTCATTGTGAGTCGTGCTGGGAGTAACTGTGAGGACCAGCCAGCAGCCATGAGAGTCTTCTGTCCTCTCCCAAATGAACCAGGTCTTGTGTGATCTGGCCAAAGTTGGGCTTTATAAGCTGTTGTTTGAACCAGCTGTACCCACTGACCCACTACTAGTTTTTAAATTGTGTTTGGACACTTTTAAGCACCGCTAAATGATTTAATATGTCAGGCATTGCCAGGGTGGCAAGTCTTCATTTGACTGAACTATAATTTACTTTTATAGACAGGTTTGGCTTTAATGCGCCCTGTAAATTGCTTTGAGGGATCTTAATGCTGCACAGTGTCTGTCATGTGGTTGGTTGTTTGTGTGTGTGTGTGTGTGTGAGGCAAAGTGGTGTTTCTTTAATCCACGGCATAAGACTTTGTCTATATGGAGCTCTTTTTCTTTCCCTGGGTAATAACAGGAGCATGTACACAGCATTTTAATAATTCTTAAGTAATTTAGTTCACCCAAAAACTACTCTCCCTCATGTTGCTCTACGTATGATTTATGTTTTTTTCTTTGGAAAACAAAAGGAGATGTTTTGTCCAAGCTGAAGCCAATTTGGTTCCAATTCACAAGATTTCAATTAGATTTTAATGGTTTAATTTGATTTCATTCATTGATGTTTATTCAGTGACTGAATGTACTGAATTAATTCAGTTAATAGTCTATCAGACTGATTTAAGCAGTAACTTATATTTTTGTGATTCTTTTTCAATGATTAATTAAAGGGATAGTTCACCCAAAAAATGAAAATTCTGTCATCATTTACTTACCCACATGTCGGTCTCAACCCATAAGACTTTAGTTCATCTTCAAAACGCAAATGAAGATATTTTTAAAGAAACATTGGTGATTTTGCCCCCATTTAAAGTTACTAGAATGAATGAACTGACAATTTCAGTCACTGTTACTGAAACTCTTACTCCTGTAACTCTAAAATGAAAGTCTTAAGGGATTTTGGGTGAACTTTTTCTGCTGTCAAACAAAACACTGACCATTTAGTAGTGCTATTTATCTCATAGATGCACACTATACAAGTAACTGTGTGAACTGAGTTGATTTGGTTTGAGAATCCGTTTGACCTGAGAGGGCAAATCCGAACTTGATGACTGCATTAATAGTTTGCTATTTTGGGAATGAGTTTACTTTTATCCGAAGATGAAACTGCACAGACAAACCCTCACCCACACCACCAACCAAAATGCAAATCGTTCTATTTTCACACAATTACATACCCCAAGGCATCAAACATCCATGAAATGAGAGATAAAGTGGGTGAGTTAAGTTTAATCTGTTCCTCATAAGAAAGAGATGATGAAATGGAGAGAGGATACTGCCTCAAGTGGGATGCTGTGAGGCCTGTGAACACTAATGTCTTATCGGTACCATGTGCGATAAACTCTGATCACAGACACCCCTGAGTGGAACTGACAGCTCCGTTCTGTCTCTTTCTGTCTTTCTGACACCACAGTTTACAGTGGGCTTCAGCACCCTCAAGACATCGCTCATGTCACTAATGCAATACACTATAGTGAGGAACAGAATCTAGAAAGCATGTTGTGTATGCAATGCATGAACATTTATTAGTGTCTGGAATATCAGACCGTGGAGAATAAGCTTTATTCTCTCATATATGGTGAGATGTACAGTCCAGACAGCCCCCACATCATCTTGTTTTATAACACTGTCTGTCTGTCTCTCTCTGACTGTCTCTGTTTGTGTCTACACTGGCTCCAGTTCCTTTTCATGCACACAGTATGGGTTGTAGTTTGAAATGTAAAGTGTAATGGCACTCAGCGTAGTGATTCTGTGTTGTTGTAGGATCAGTTGTGTTCTGATGTGGGGTGTGTGGAATGAGGAAAGAGAAATATGCTGCTTTGGTCAAACAATATCTCTTAAACATCACCTTCACTTTAAAGCAGCATTATTCAAGTAAGCCAAGAACTTCTCCTTAGTGCAACAAAAATTACTAGCTATCTGCAGACAGCAGTTCCGCGATATAGTATAATATATTATTGGTACATAAAACATCAGCCATACAACATTCTTTTTTTATTTGTCATGAGAAACACTTACATCTAGTAGAAAATTATTTAAAAAAAATTATACTGGTCTGTTTCTTTTCCTGTGGGATATTAATTGAACAGGCCTGCTTTAAAGAGTTGATTGTGGATTAAGATTTCTTTTGCTTTTGTCCATTTTTAGCCCAAAACAAAATGGACAATTTTTTTGCTCTCATACTTGCAATCTCTTGTTCTTTTCTCATTAGTTCGCCCTCTCTCAGTGGCGTCGTCGAACTAGTAAAAACATTACATCACTGATAAGACACAAAAACATATTTGAAATAAATGTCAAGCTTTTTATCTGAAGTGCATTGCATAAAGATCAGCGTTTACACATTCACACACACACACATACTGTACACAGATTTTTGAAGCTCTGTTAATGAAGACCACTTCAAATCTTCTCATAAGTCATTGTTGTAGTACATGTTGAAAACTTTGGACAAGCTACACTACCATTCATACCATTTCACATCAGTGTTTTTGAAAGATGCCTCCTATGCTCACCAAGGCTGCATGTATTTGATCAACATTAAAAACAGCAGTGGTGGGCCGTGCATTTTACACCTAGGCCTTCAGTGGCGTCCTACATGAATTAATCCATCTCTTCATACCATCATAATGATGTCATGGCTATAGAAACCATAAATATTACACAGTAATGCAGTATAACAGGGCACTACATAACAGACAGGTATCTTATGTAGCGAGAGTGAATGCCATTACTAAAGAAAGAGACCCAATTAACAATTGCGCAACACATCATCTGTAGCTGAAGCATTAACCTAACAAAATGACACAAATACAGTCCATCCGATGTTCTTACAGACATTTATTCACCCAAACGCATTTATACCTTACAGATAGCATTGGTATAAAACAAATAAGGTTTGTGTTTTAAACATGTGTTTTAAAGTTGACCTAACAATTTAATGTTTTCTTACTGCTTAATTTCATCTTCACGAGTCTCCCCGCCGGTCTGCCAGCGCACTGCGGGAGGAAAATACTGGTTAGCACAGCTTTACTAGGAAAGTGAGCAAGTAACATTAAAATAAGTCATACAAGACAATGAAGAAAAGTGTATACATGTGTTTTAACGTACCTCTGTGACTCTCATCTCCCCGCTGGTCTGCCTCTGCCAGCGGCGCTGCGGCCGGAGGTTAATACAGCTCCACTCGGGAAACTGAGATATTCTTACGGAAACTTAAACCTGGCTTTATATCGCGCAAATAACACCAGCATACAACGCATCAAGCGATAAAAGAGTCAAAAATGAAAATTAACCTACCATACTCTAGTGGTTTTTCCATCTTCACGAGTCTTTCACAGAGCCGCTGCCGAGGAAGTGTGTGCTTGTTTTTCGCTGCCATTAGGACTACTGTTTTTAGATTTACTAAATATAGTAGGCAAATATTTTTTCAAAATGCACTGAAAATCTAAACCTGAGAAACAGT